GATTCCGTCGCTGGTATGTATGTCGGAATCTCCTAGCGATGTCCTCATCACCTTATCTATCATTGTTGTTCCCCTTTCAGCGCATGTCCGTGGATGATTATTAATGAAGACTACGCATAAAAGAGAGCAGAGGAGGCGTTAAACCCCAAGCTTGTTGATGGTAAAGGCAAAAGTATCATTCCCATATTTGAAGGTGAGTCATAGTCCGAAGAGGATGGGTAGGAGGAGGAGAATGTGGAGGCTAATGTGTCTTTTGAAGGCTCTGAGGAAAAAGTAGGCCCTATCCACCTATCCAGGAAAGCATTTGACATAGGGAACTGTCTTCACCCCTTACGAGGGAAAATTACTTGAAGAAGGTCCCTACTAACAAGAATGGCTTTATCGTGATGAATTTATATATTATAAGTTGGCAAAGTACATATGTATTGGCGCATAAACATCAACAGGTAATCTGGCACTTGCTAGCTTGAGGGAGGAGATGAGGAAGATAAAGTCGATCCTTAACGAGGAGTTTTCCCTTAGATGGGCAGATGAGAAGGTGGAGTCTTTAGAAGCCTAGTTGGATAAGAGGGATGGAGCCAACCAGAAGGCGCAATCAAGGAAGGACACCTTGAAGGAAGTTGAGTCGATGAAATTGTTGAATAACTAGCCTGATAAGCCATTGAATTTAAGGTGAAATATGAGAAGTGGGTGACCTTCTTTGAATCTCCACAGTACTAGAAGATCCTCTGCAAGAAGTATGACAAGGGGATTGAGTATTGCCTGCAGAAGTCAGTTGCCTCCAAGTTTGACAGCAAGTTCAAAGGCAAAGGCTTCTTCTACGAGTTGATGTCGGACTCCTTGAAATTTGTGTCTTCATAGCCTTGAAGCTCGTGCAAAATTCACATTTTTGCTCGATCGGATGACCTATGCAATATGGAATTCATTTTTAGATATTTTCGACATTTTGGATGAAACGACGAAATCCGTTTTGCGAATTGACGTCATTCAAACAACGTCATGTGTCATTGTGCCTATATTTTACTAATTTCGACCACCTTCGTTGAATTCAATTGCGATAGGTCCTCCCTTAGCAAAATTTGACGCTCTGATTGCACCAGCGCGATCCGTTCGGCGATTGAAAGTCATTTGAGTACTTAAGTAAAGTGTCGCACTTGCCAAAAATCAAGCTCATCGATTGTCACTTTTGTCGACTTCGCTCGCACTGATTTGACAGATGTGTGGATGTTAACCAATGCCGTCCAATCAAAGACATTGAGGCATCCATGAGAGCTTGGATGAGCTCACCTTAGTGTGCTCGGATGAAAAACAAGCTTAATTGTGAGTTAGCTCTGGGTTATCTTCCATTGTTGGGACCTTCTCCATTAGTTCAATGTTCTCCAACCCAGGTCGATCCCCTTTTTCTCAGCTTGTAACACTTTCTTGGGCGAGCTTGCCACCTTCCCTATGGCTATCAAGTAGAAAGTTTGCAATTATGTTAAGTCACCTCTCCCCATAATTTCCTGGCTTCCCATAGGAACTTGACTGCCACGTGATAAGTGGAGTTGACCGCCATGAAATTACTTAGGAGTGCTCGCCTAAAGTTCACGTTGTATGTGGCAAGTGCATCCACCATTATGAAGTTGATGATTGTTGTGTACTTGTGCTCGCCCTCACCCCAGGTTATGGGAAGAGCAATCATCTACGGTCTCTTGCCTCTTGCCCAATAAATCATAGAGTAGACTTGTGATGGAGGTGAGTTGGGAAGCAAGTTCATTTTATTGAAAACATGTTTAAATTTTATTTTAACATAACTCCTTGTATTAGTGAGTATGTTGTCGATATGGTAGTTGACGAATAGCACAATGACCACCACAACATCATTAAAGGGTTTCCCACTTGCCAATTCATCTACTTCGGTGAAGGCAATTAGGATTACTTTGGTTATTGGCATGTACAACGTGGTCACCAAGTTGACTTCTCATGTGTGAGACCTCTTTAGACTCTCTTCGGAGACATCTTTGCTTCGTCCCCTCCAAAAATGGCGAGCAAAACCCTAGCGATATGGATGGTGTACGCGGGAATAGGCTTGTTTCCTTAGTCTTTTGCAAATGCTGTGCTTGCCCGTTTACTTGGAACTATCCCACTTTTATCAAATCCTCCAGAATGCTTACGATGTACATATATTCATTTGTGTCATACCCATAATTCTTGTGGAATGCGGAAAATTTTGAGGTGTCCTTAGGGGGAGCACCCGCCTTCCTACGTGTTGGGCATTTAAATAACACCTTATTTTGGATAACCTGCACCAACTCAATCATGGAAACAAATAGGGGAGTGACAATTGGGTGTGGGTGAGAAAGGTGCGCCCCATTATCTTTGTATGGGTGAGTTGCGCGTGTTGCTTGTTCTACTCACAGAGTAGGCGGTCCCACGATTCTGAGTGGTCTTGCCAGCAGGGGTTACCTTTTGTTGGTCTTGATGGTGACAATACTGTGGCGTGTGTTGTATTCTCTCTACCCTATGACCCCTCAAGCAACCCCTATCGCACTTGTGACTTTGGTGCCAACTAGCCTTGCTAGTAATTCCTTGGGGCAAGTAGTCGAGGAGGACTCAACCACACTATCATGCTCTTCCACATTTATGTAATTGTTAGCAAGTTCTAACAACTCGGCCAATGTTCTCAACTATTGAAGACCAAGAGCACATCTAAATGAGCCTTCCCGCAGCCCTTAGATTAGAGCGGCTTGCGCGACTATCAGCTTCCGATCCTTAACATCCAGCATCTCTATCTGTACCCTGATGATGAAACTTCTCGACAACTTGCCTGGTTCCTACCTCATCATCAGAAGAGCTTAAGAACTCTTCAGCGGCCTTTGAGCGATCGAAAAGTATGTAATGAACAACTTCTTAAACTTAGGTTAGCATGCAAAATAACCACCGAATGGCGGACTCTTTGACAATGGTAAATAACAATTGACACATCAATGTGTCATTGACATCCATCAATGATGTAGCCAACTCAACGTATGCTATGTATTTAGCAGGGTGGGAAATTTTTTAACTTTATAGGTGGCTTTGCCTTCACAAATCCCTTGAAAATGCGTTGGCTAGCATTTGCTCCCTCCCTCAACTAAATGGAGGGTTGTATTCTTCATCGTTGGTGTGATTGTGGTTGTAATCGAAGATAGGTGTTGAAGGTACCGCCCTAGTCTCGTGCCTTCCCTAGCGAATTCCAAAGTCAAATGATCATTCAGGGGTTCTCTCTCCCAAGGCGTTCCTATGAACTTGCCCTAGTGCGTCATAAATCATCTTAGTGATTCTCTCCTTTATCTCCATCAAGCTACGATAGGTAGTAAAGTTTTGATTCTCCATATTCGCTACGATACCTGGTTCTACTGCTCATCATGCAATGCTTGTCTTCTTATCAAGTCATTGTCGTCAATCCATGCTTATCACACCTTAAAGAATGTTGAATTCAAATTTGACTGTTGATGACACCCAAACCTACTAATAGGGGTCTTAATATATTAGAGCTATAGAATCAAGGAAAAGTATGAAAAGTAAAAGAGAATATCTAATATCTCTATAAAAAATCCAAACAACAATATCTTTGAAATATGCCCATTCACTTATTAATTATAAGGTTAAGAGGGCTACATGAAAGGCTACGTCTAGAATAAAATAAAATAAAATAATACATTATGTAATATGTACAGATTGTCAAAGACACATAGACAAAGAGGCGGCGCACACATGACCCTTTTCCTTTAGCCTGGCACTCCAGTGGATACTCAGGGTAAAGTTTTGGGGGCAAGTGCTTTGGGCGAGTCTGTAAAGGTGAATCCTTAGAAATGAGAGGCAAGTCCTCAAGAGTGAATATCAAGACACATGGGTGGAAGTAGATTTTTGGGTAGAAGTAGATGTGAGCCAAGGAAAGGTTCAATCAATTAAGTTGTAGTTGTAGGCTTTATAGTTGTGCGCTTCTTGTAGCTTGATCGAGGGTATCTGCAGAAGGCGTGTGGCCTTGATTGTGAATAATAACTGTGGTACAACGAATTCTCTTAGGATAAGTACCCCTCAGGGTAAAGACCTATATGGGTGAGTCCTTTAGATGAATCCCCGAAAATGAGCACATCTTCAATCTGATCCCCAGGGGCAAGCTCATATATTGCAATGTCGACTTAGGTGAGTGACCGCTTACTCATGGGCTGGTGCTAGCGCTTATCATACAGGGTGAGGCTTTCTTTGGGCGAGCGTTACTCCAACTATGTGCTCCCTCTAGCCAAGTCACATGGAGATGAACCTATTTCGATATTTTCGAGTTACTTACATAAGCATATAGATATACAACTATATCAAAACTTGTGAAGCAAGTGTCATTTTCATGTGACAATTCTTACAACTTGTTAAGCAAGAAAATTTGCCAGAAACTTAATCATATTTAGGTTTATGGCATTCAACCTTCATGCTATCTTGATACAAGAAGTTGGGCTGTAGGAGAACTTCAGCTCTTTAAGTTTAGCTTATTAAAGCATTAACTTTGAAGGTCACCTTACTCGATATTGAAAGCTTTCGTAAGCTAAATATTTATATCCTTGGTGATTGGATGCTCATGTATGGCCCTCCAGGTGGATGTTTCTTATGAAAAAAGAGCTTTGGGATCCAATTTAAACACATTAAGTGATAGAGTAGCCCTGCTACACCTCAAATGGCCCAAAAACAAGACGAGGTTGAACTTTGGGCCATCATCAAGAGCTAGAATATTATTTACAAGCAGCTGACTAAAGAATGAGGAGTCTTGTAGAATCCTTTTGAAATTGATGTAACAGAAGATATTGTGAATGAGATGATCATCAACCAATGTTATGTTAGTTATTGGATCCAATTTTGTTTGTAGGCGACATCTTACCCTACTAACAAGTCTTCGCAAGTTACAATTGGAGAACCAAATGAGAAAACTAGTAAGTATGAAGAGTAAGTGAGAAATTCCGATATCTTTCTGAATAGTCCAAATAGCATGAAGTTCAAAATATGCCTCTTCATCCATTATTTATAGGGTCAAGAGGGATACAATGAATGTTGCACCTAAAATATAATGAAAAAAATCATATAAGATGCAATAAGTACAAATTGATACTGACACCTAGGCTGAGCTGGATGGTTCACACGTGACCTCTACCTCTGATGTGGTCCTTTGGCAGTACCCAAGGCGAGCGCTTTAGGCAAGTTTGTGAGAACTGGTATTGAGTCTGCGAAGGTGAGTTCCTAAGAATAAGAAGGGAGTCCTCAAGAGCGAATAGTCAACCTGATGTGAAACAATACATGCGAAAATGACTTGCTTAAGGAAGTTTGCACTTGTAAATTTTAGAGAGCAATGTTAAGCAAAATCCTCTATTGATGTAAACGATAAGATAACATTAAGGTGATAAAATAGCTTAGGTCTAAACACATGCAAGAGGTTGAGATCATTAAATAGTCAACTAAGTCTTACTTTGCATACATGAGTGGTTTCAACGAGAAATTCCAATGCTAACAATAAGATTAGTATTATGATGGGCCTCTCTCACAACTCATTCAAATACTAGGTTTAGCGGAGGCGATAAAACATGCGCTTTGTGAATCAAATTATAACCACGAGTAGAGTAAACTCAAAAGATAAAGAGTGAGTAAAGAGTTTACCCAAAAAAAAGGAGTTATGAAGCTATGACGATGGCTGGAATGAAGGGGCAGCAGCCTTCAAACTTCTGGAACCACTCAGCAGCAATGAGAGTCTCTTCAGGCGGCTGGACGACACTAGATCTCCTCAGGACAGCAGCTAGGACTGGCTCTGGACGGCTGGACAGCACCCTAGTTTGCTGTGGTCAACAGGATAGCAACCTATTGAGCTCAGGAAAACTTCTAGTCAGGAAGAAGGGCTGTCCCTCAGATCTGGACAGCAATTGTCGCTCCCGGGATGGCTGAACGTCGGTGGGCTGCTGCAGGAATTTCCAAACAGAAAATTGAGATGTTGGGCAGCAGTTTTCCTGGAGCTTTGGAAGGGAGAGGGGAGTTTCAAAACCAATTCTGAAATAAATTTCAGAATTTGAAATTTTAGGAGAGAAAAAATATTTGAAATTAATTTCAATTTCAAATAGGGTGGGGCATTAAATGAGCAATCAATAGGGAGATTCCCTCAAGGGCCGGCGGCATCAAGGAGGGAGGGGATTTGGGGAGAATGAGGAGGAGTTTCCAATTAGGTGGTGATGACTTGGAAAGAGAATTGTTTGAATCCAATTTGATTTAATTTTAAATTGAATTTAATCATAAAAACTTAAATTGGATTTCCTAATTTGGAAAGAATTTGAAATCAAATTCAAATTCAAAGGCTAGCGGAGAGAGGGGTGGTGGGCGTATGGCGAGAGGCCGAGGGCAAGATGGCCGGCCGGTGGTGGGGAAGTGGCCGGCGGCTGAAACTCAAGGTGGGCGGCGGCAAAAGGGGCAGGGGTCAGGTTCTTCCGGCCAAGAGCTTGAATGTTTTCTCTTGAGGTGGAGGGGAAATGGTTGGGGTTGGAGGAGGTCGGTGGCTTGGGCGACTTGCAGGTGGGGACTCCGGCGGCTAGGGAAGAAGGGAAGAATTAGAAGAAGAAAAAGATAGGAACCAAGAGCTCCACCAAGGGGTTGTTGGGTATTGCTTTGAGCCTCTCCTAGGCTTTCCTCACTTGAGAACTCACAAAGAGAACTCTAGAACTCACAAAGAGATCCAAAACCAAAAATTTCATTAGCAATCATCATCCTTTCCAAGAGGAAGGGGAAGGCTTAAATAGCCAAATACATGAAGGAAAATAAAAGACACTATTGCCTCTAGGGCAAACATAAGGCAAAGCCCTCAAGTGAGGGTAGAAAGGGAAAAGTACAAATAACAAATCAAATACATCAAGATAAATAGACACGATCGTAGCCGTTGATCTTCGATGTCCTCATCACAACCCCCTAGGTGGAAGTGGTTGTAAGCCAAGAACAACTTGAGTTAGTAGAGTTGCAATCGTAGCTTTATAGGTGTATGCTTCTTGAAGCTTGATCGGGGATATCTATGGAAGTTGGGTGGCCTTTATTGTGGACAACTACTATGGGTGAGCAAGTTTTATAGGGGCAAGTGCCCCTCAAGGCATAGATTAGTCTAGGAGATTTCTTTAGATAAACCTGTAAAGAATGAGTATCTTTGATATGATCCCCCAAAGATGAGTTTTCTTTGGAGGGGTGCACAACTACTTGCTCACAGACTAATGCTAGTGTTTACATTGCACAGTGAGATTTCATTTGGATGAGCATAACTTTCACCACGCGCTCTTCTGGCCAAAGTCTTGTATATAGGAATCTACTTAAACACTTGCATTTTACCCACATGCGCATGTATGGGTATAAGTAAGTGGAATAGAGCAAGAAATCCTTTTAGTACATAATATGGGGTTTGCTAACCCAACATCATTATCGGTCACAAAAAGTGACAAATTATTTGCACTAATTGGATGAGATCATAGACATTGTTGTTGAAAGGTATGCAATGCTTGATTAAGAAGACAATTATGATTAAGAAGACAATTATGATTAAGAAGGACAAGACCAGAACCATCGAGATAATAATAACGATGACTTGGCTTGCTAGGACTTTGTCAACATTATAATTTAGATGTACCTTGTGTAAACAATTTTGTAATCATTTAGCTAACCAATGAAAAAAAAAACTTATAAACTTCTTTGCAATAATTTTTGCTTTAGATTTCAAACAGTGGAGTCTGAGATCAATCTTCCTAGCTCATTAACCCCCTTTTTAACCAGTTTCACATAACTTCATATCTTATTTAGCCACTCAATGCTAACTCAATAAAAGTTGATCACAATCCTAAATATCATTTATCACAACAGAAAGTGTTCTTCAGGGTCCCCGACCCTCTTTTTATTATAAGTCATATCTCAAATAAAAGCACCAAAAGATAGTTGACATTAGATTTAGTTTGACGTGTATGTAGATTTTGACGACAGAGGTTACTTCAAGAATGGAGATTTTAAACAAGAATAGGAGGAGAGTATAGTAGATGGAAGATCGAAACTAAAATACTTAATTTCCTGGAAAAAAAAGATTGATATTCTTTGTATTCCTTGATCGGCCAATACACTTGGAGCTAATAACTATGAGTGTCTCTCCCACTCACTTCTTTGATGAGCAGCTTTAATTTATAGGAAGACAAAACATCTTTAATAGATAATTTTCTATAAGAGATATTTGTAAATAAAAGTATGATTGCTATCTTATGCATAGGACATCGCCTGTAATAATTCCACCCCACCACCTTCCATTGTAATCAAATTGGGAGTGTACTACAGGGTGGAGTGGTCATATGTTGGTCATTGAAAGGTTGGTAGGATAGAGCGACTGCGTAACAGTTATTGAGAATCTCAAATGTGACAACTAGTCATGCTCTAAAAATGTTGACAATGGTTTGCCAACCAGGGGGCTATCAAATTCTAAATTGAAATCGTGCTATCAATTGTCATTGACTAGACTTGGATTTCAGTGTTTTAAGTCAGAGTGTACTCTGTTACTTAATACCTCCCTAGCGATGTTCAACAAAGCAAAGCGATTGGCCTAGAAGTAATCTGAGCACAATAATAACTCTCGAATATGAGATTGATGAGTAGACTTGATTGGAGACAGTCGATGCACCTTAGAAAGGGTCCCGATAAAAGGCTCACATGCACATCTTTATCATATTCTTTTCTCATGTACAACTAGCATCGTGCAAGAAAACCTTACTTTTGAGTTATGAAATTAATTGACATATTTTGATGCTGCCGTAGAAGTTTAAACAAAAAATAATACTTCAAACAAGAGATACAAATGATGAGCTAACAATCAAGAATGAAAATCATCAACCTAGAATTCCAAATTTGATAGTAATTTAAATGAATTCATTGAAAGGATTATATAGTTAAGCAAAAGGGAATTATTGACAGGTTTTTGCATCCATTTAAGTTTTAAAACAGTAAGACCAGATGAAGAATAACCAGCGTTCTTCCACGCCAAGAGGGCATTTCAAACAAAACATGAACTTACTGCCGAAGTTTTTCTCCTCTCACTTTCAGATGATCACTTCAGAGAGGACTATTATAAATCAAATTAGTGGTGATGGTCTCCATCACCACCTTCAGTATCTTCCTTGGCCTTCCTAGCAGCTGCTCTTATTTGACGCTGCTCTTCTTTGTAGACTTGGTTTCTCCTTCGGAACTGCAGTCATGTAAAATTAACAGATATTGTTAATATGTTCTCAATTTTTTCTGCAAACTAAGAATACATGAACCTTAACAACGTAAGGATGCCCAATGAAGATTTGGCTTCATGGGATAAATATAACTTGATTGCGAGTGATATAATTCTACACAGCATTACCTCAAAAACAATATGAAATTCCAGTTCAAGTCAAAACCATGCAACGCAAAGACAGTTAAAAATTGGGAAGAATTTCATGCACTAGAAAGCTAGTTAAGCATCTTTCCTCTCCAGCTTCACAGTTTGAATGCTCGTGCAAACTTGAACACCATGTCAGTTCACAACACGAACTGATTCTTTTGGAGCCAACTCATACCACTAACAAAGGTTTAACAGCACTGCACCGAAAGGAAAGTATCGTACCCATGAGGCATGATAACATGTGATGCAGCATACAATAAGGGAATGGTTACAGGAAAAGTCGGGAAGTGAAGAGTTTGCTGTTTCAAAAGCTTACTGTTTTTTTTTTTATATGTCCCAAAAAAAAAAAGCTTACTGTTTTTTTGTTTTTGTTTTTGTTTTTTTAATTATTTTAAGATTACAGCAAGGATTTGCAGCATTTTGGCAGGACTGAAAAGGTCTTGTGAGTTGAAGGTGGGCTTTGGTGTAATTTACTATATCTGCATCCTGGTCAGAATGAGTGGATTTAGGGTCATCTGTGGGTTGTTTCCAACGTGTAAAAAGAAAAGAGAGTCAGGAAAGCTCCGCGCAGCAGAGGTAGGTACAGCTTTAACTTGGTTTTAGAGAAAAGAAAAAGAAGAAAGGTTAGGCTTTCAGATGAGAATAAATGGAAAGAAAAAGGTCAAAGAGATAAAAGAAAAATAAAAGAGAAGAATGAAGAGGAGGGAAAGAGAAAGTGAGAAAGAGAAACGAGGAACTTCGATAAAGAGAGACAGAAGAAGCAGCATAATGATAGTAGATTTGCCATCACAATCATCTCAAAAACTGAAACCTATAATCGCAATTCGCAAGGAATCAAGATTATAGAATAAGAAATGCAATACCAAATAACTAAAATACTGATGAGAATATAAATAATATCCATAATAACCATGACATAAATATTAACAGTAAAAAGAACATTAACAGTAACAAAAGATAGCTATGAAAGACAAAATAACACAATAAGAAATCTAATAAAAAACCATGCATACATTGTTCAGTAAGACGGCCTACAGTCCTATAACTCCAATAATGTCCCAACATCAATTCCATCGGGCCTGCAAGGAGTCTCATCCAAATGGTGTGCATCATGGTACACAATACTCAAATATACTCATTATTTCATTTGTTTTTTTTAATTTTTCCATACATCCATCTTAAAATTCTCTCTTTTATGAGCTATATTTATCAATAAAAAATTGCTATTTTGCATGACACTCAAATCTATAAAAAATTGTCGGACTAATTAAAGTTCCACAAACTTTACATTTAAGCAACCATTATATCCTCTTATCAAATATACTCTCTAGGCACTTCTCAAATTAACTGCATAGTTGTAATTCTTAAAGTTTTATCATTATTCTTATGTATAATAGATCCACGATATTAAAACATTTGCACATAAGTTTTGCTTTATCTTCTAATAATACTAACTAAAAATTGTATATATCACAACCGCTAAAATTATACATCATAAATTAAGTTGGTGTTCCGGTCATGCTAATTATTTTATTTTTTAAATATTTTCTCTATTATTCCAACTCACTTATTTTAGTAGATGCCTTGTTGTCAAAAATCAAGTGATTTGTAAAAAGTGTGATAAGCACACGCTAAGGTACTTTACTTGAATATCCTTTGTAAACATCTACATGACTAATACTTGAATACCCTACTATAAAGAAACTCTTCAAGCATTCCATAACTATTTCGAATATAGGAATGCATCATCATACATATATTTAATAATTTTAATATACTATTCGTTTTTTCTTTAACACACACAATTCTGTTTATACTCATCCATATGAATCTTCAATATCAATAAATATCATATAAAGAATTTTTTTAATTCTTTTCATACTCTTCTATAAGTTGTCTTACCACAAAAATCAATTCCATGATGATATTCCTAGCATGAAACCAATGTAATTCTTATAAGTCAAAAGTTTATGTTCCATTCATTTTTTTAGTCATTGGATAATTATTACAATCACGAACATCTGCTTTATTTTGTAAATATTAGTGTCAAAATTTTTCATTGCAATCATTAGTCTTCCTCTAAGGTTTCAGATTTTCATTGAAAGATTGGTTAAACAAACCACAGTAATATCACATATAGCTCTACTGGCAAAATATATCTTAACTAGCCCGAAACAATATATGCCTTACTTGGACCTAAAGCTTCAACTTTATCCATCTTCTTTAGAACTGGCTTTCTTTCTCTATTTTGGAACAATCTATAATATTACCTTCCTATTTTTTGTTGACTGTGCTCGTCTACAATGTTTTCTTTCCATTTTTCCTTTATATCTTTAAGGTGAACTAAAATATTAAAACTTAATTAAAATCTCAAGATCCCTTAACTTCTACTTTGGCTCTTTTCATATCTCAAATTCTTCATCCTTAATAACAAGTTTACTATATAAATCATAAAAAATTATACATTGTTTTCCCCACAACTTTTTGGTAATACTTCTCGCTATCTTATAATCATTATAACCCTCAATAAATAAGATCTTATCTTCTCTTAATTCAGTTGAATAATTAACTAATTAAATAATTGATTACATTTAATTAACTAACTAAACCTAATAATCCATAGCTAGTTCATTTATGAGCTTTAGCCTAATTAGATCCTATGTATACCATAGTTACTCTAATTAAATACCAAGCAGAATGATTGAACCATAGTCATAGCCTGAATCCCATAGTTATCACCTAACTATTAATTAGTTATAAAATATATAATTAATTAAATTAAAATTAACTAATATAAATTTATGAAATATGACAAACTCTAATTAATCTGCCAAATTATTAGAATTTAACCAGTATAAATATTAATATTATCTTTAAGACACTAATTAGAATATTATTAATTCCTAATAAATTCAATTAACTAAGTCAAAATCCAAATTAATCACAAATCGAATTAATTCTCGTTAAATAATTGGCTTATTAAATAAAATCACAATATGAATTTAATCCAAATCCACTAATCCTCTTACTTGCAGACAAATAATTCTTAGGTTTAACTCGGATTAAATTTAGAGATCCAAATAGTTTTAAAGATTCAATAACCTGGGGACTTAATAAATCCGGATTAACAAAACTTACTGAAAAATGTTTCTTAAATTATAGTTGCATCCAAATAAACAGAAGATGTAGGAGCAAAAATCTTTGGTATAAACTAAAACCAAGAAAATCCTTCAAAAACCTGCAAACGACGAGAAACAACCTACAAAACCTCTACAAGAAACACGCGAAAATCCCCAACAGTTCAAACATTTAAAAGCCCATAAAATCCAGATTGCCCGTAATCCTCATAGGATAGCAAATCACAGATGGTAATGGGACCAAGCAAAAATAAAGCACAGAATTGCTGCGTTATTTGATAAGAAAGGAGCCAGGGATTTAGAATGAGTGTGCGCTGACCTCTTTCGCGTGGTGGAGACACTCGAAGTAGTCCTCGCGGAGTAAGGCGCAGTCTTTGGGCTCCCGGCAACGCGACATGCACTCACTGAAGTCCATCCAGAAGTCGTAGCACCGCCCCTTGTTCCCTGTAATCCCCCAACCTGACGCCATAGCTTTCTGTCTTTGCCTCCTTTCCCTGGCTCTTCTTCTACAGCTTACCTTGCGATTCGTGCCCTATTTCTTGGACTCGATCATTCTTTGTATTTATCTTTTTGCTCAAAAATAAAAATAAAAAGGAGAATTTACATCCGTATCATTTTATTTGCTGCTATTTACCTAACTAACATCTTAAATTTTAATATTACATTATTATCATTCATATAAAATTTTAATATAAAATATATGACTATTATATTTCATTCTTATCATCTATATCATCTTATAAATTTTAATATTTTATTTCATGCACTCAATTTTAAATATTAGATATATACATATAAATTTTATGATATGTATGTAAATATCCCATTTATATTTTGTAGTTTTTAAATTAAGTAGTTTTATTCTCTCTTGTTATTGATATATGTGCTTTATTTTCATTTTAAAATTTTTGCATGATCATCCCCATCAGCATCTCTAATGTTTTTGTCAAAATAAAAAATTCTCAATGTATTTATTTATTTTAAACAATGTGTAAATATTATATAAGCTATTGAATTTATATTACTTAACTTTTTTGTTTGATTTTAATTCATATTATCTTTACTCGGGTTTTGTATGAGACAACTGTTTTATTACTTTCTAAAGCAACTTTTAATATAAGCTGATTTGAGAAAGATAGTAAGTTATGACCTCGATACATTGGAACGTTTGAAGTAATTAAATGAATTGGTAAGTCTACTTATATACTATTTCTATCAAATCATATGTCTCATATTCACAATATATTTCAGGTGTGGATGAATTTTGAAGTTCTTAGGCTCGTTTTGCTCCTAAGAAAATCCTCTACAACTTTTCTAAAGACTCAAAAACCTAGTTCTAATTGGATTAAATGTTGTCTTCAAATATCCTCTTTCTCTCTCTATTTCCCTCTCTTTTAAAGGCTTTGGAAGTTGTAGAATGGTGGGGAAATGGTTAGGGAATCTAGATAAATTCTTGGAGAAATTAAGGAAAAGAAGTTGGGGGCTAGAGACAGCTTAGAGAGTTTGAAATGGTAAAATGAGGGTTTTTTGCATGCTATAGGCCAGTTGAACCCCTAGGATTTGAATGGATGGATGGAAATGATTAGAGCATTTTTTTTGATATTTGACACCTGTCCTAGGTGGTTAGCGGCTAGAGAAATGGCAGGAGCTTTGTGAGTGGCTTGGGTTTTGGCTCATGTGATGGGGAGGCCATCTTTGCCCCATTTGGCTAGACCATTACTTGGGCTTGGCTTAGATGCTTGTTTTTAGTTGATTTAAAGCTTTTTAGGTGGTTTTGAACCAAAGCCCTATATGGGGCCCTAGTTGGATACCCATGCTTTACTCGGACGGGCTTCGCCCACCCATGATGACTTTCAAGATGTCGTACCCACATATACGCACCCACTTTCCATACTTTTTGACTGCAGTCTGCCATGTACTGATGGCCTTGAGGCTTGTTGCCCTTTACTATGATTGCAAACTTTCAAACTGCAGAATTTATCATAGTCGCAGCGTAGTTAAGTGCTGCACAATACTTAGTGATGATTGCAGTAATATAAGATATACAATAACTAACAATGTAAATCGATTTATCCCCGATGTTGAGTACCCACCCATACCCATCCATAAGGCCATGAGTGTACCCATACCCATCCATACCCATTGCAGGCTCTGCTTTGAATAGGTTTATATAGGGAAACCTGAATGGGAATGCATTGGCTAAACATTGTTAACAATTTGACCATATTTTTGTGCTTTAAAAGGGTTTTTTGAATTTTTGATTGTTAAACCAGTCATGGTGACTAGAATGAGGTATTGGGGAGTCACACATACTGCAGAGAGTGATTCTAAGAGTTTGGACCCAATGGTTGACGAGTTTGGATGGGAGCCAAACCACATCCATGAATTTGATCCCTCATAATGAATACTAAGTCAAATCAATGGTGATTTGACTTAGGATAATATTAGACATGCTTGGAATATTCAATTGAATGATTTTGACTGATCATTTTGGTTTGAAATTGCTTGAAGTATTGACTTTGACTTTGATTTGGTGTATGATTGATTTGGCCAACCATATTTTTTGCCAAAGCAACTGACGGATTATGAATCAAAGGTCATTTGATTTGATTCTGAGGTGATGTAAAATTATTCAAAAAAGGGTTATGAGACATAGGTTTTTTGTCTTGATTTTTTTTTTATATAGATTTTGGATTTGGTTTGTGGATTTAGTTAACCTCATATAAAAATGATATAAAAAAAGGGCATATGGTATGTATATATGAATCACATGCTATAAATTATATGATATAAATAATATTTTGCATTGATATTGAGTAGACTACATTGGATGTGACACACATGATATGCATAAATAACATAGACACTATATGACATGCATATGATAATAATATGTGTATAATTTTTCTAAGAAAAAATATGAATTAAAATATTATGTAGTTGATAGGTATAAAAATTATAGAATCACATGTTATAAAATGAGATCAACAAAGGGCATATGGTATGTATATGTCACGACCCGACTCGATCCGGGATGGATCCCGCTCGCACCGGGTCGCGGCACGGAAACGAACAAACTGATTGACCAGGATCTGGCTTTGGAATTTGCTTACTGAACTAAATCTTCCAAATAATTTAACTCAAACAGACACACAAACACAGAGCTACTATGAATCATCAAATGCAGCGGAACAAATCATCTATATTTTTCTTTCTTTTCCTCAAAACAATCATCTACAAATACGGTACATGGCTAACAGAAGAAATATAGAAGAAAAGTCATGACCGTACAAAAATCAAAAGTACAAAAGTACCTATCACAGATCGGACTCTGAACTCTAGTCCTGGACTTCCTTCCCTTTCCCAGAACCTGAAAACCACCAGAAAACGAGAGTGAGCTCAACAGCTCAGCAAAGCAACAAACCTACAATCAAAACTCTCAGAATCCAAAACCAAACACATCAGACCCAAATCCAAATCAGAAACCAAAACAGAATCAGACAGATATCAGAATCTTCGTACAGAAATCATAATTGGACAGTTCATAATAAAATAGATCAAATCAGAACAGATACGGACATATCAAATCAAAATCACAATTTATCAAATTTGCATAGAACATAGATAATAACATTTCAGAATATCTATTCTACTGCCAGATAATTTTCAATTTCACAGAAAAATCCAGTCGACTAAAAACTCCATCGAATCAAAAATATCCGGACAAAAATCTTCGAAATATAGTCAAAACGTGCACACCCGGCACGGCAATAATATACAAAAAGTTACGCGGTAAAAACTGAACCAATCAAAAGATACGGACGAAAATCACTAACGGAAACAAAATCCGGACAGAAAATACCGCCAAACACGACGGTTCTGAAAATTGAGAAAGGCGGAATGTGCCTTACCTTGCGTACATCAATTTCCTGAACAGTCTCGTCGGACGAAAACAGCTCCGCGTCGCCCGAAAATCAACTTTTCCAAAAGATTCCTCGACTTTCTCTCTCCTCAAAAGATATTTTCGTTTTTATAAAATTTTCTCTCTGTTCAAAACGACTGATTTCAGCTTTATAAAACTCAGATCGGCCCGGCCGATCGCCATATCATCCCGGGACGATCAGACCAATTTTGATCGTCCTGGACGGTTCCCAGGACTAATCTTCGGCCGATATTTTGAACAGTGCACATCGGCCTAGCCGATGCCTCAATCGGCCTGGACGATGCCTACAGAAAAACACCTGGAGCAAATCTGGGCAAATTCTGGAGCAAATTCTCAACTGATCGTCCCAGGACGATCACAGATCGTCCTGGACGATCCTGGAGCAGATTTTGATATTACAGTATATATGAATCACATGTTATAAATTATGTGATATACATAATATGTTGCATTGATATTGGGTAGACTATATTGGATGCGACACATGATATGCATAAATAAAATAGACACTATATGACATACATATTATAATAATATGTGTATAATTTTTCTAAGCAAATTTATGAATTAAACTATTCTGTAGTTGATAGGTATAAAACTTATAGAATATATTGGGTCATTTTTTTTGTTATTGCTCACTACTCATGATATATAAAATTATATGTATTGTTATTTCTCATATAACTTGATAGTGTTTATAGTGACTACTATATGCTTTTAAAGTTACATGTACATATTGATATTGATTGAATGATTGCATGCATATTGTTTCTACTTGCATTAATTTTAGTGTTAGGTTCTGGTAACTTGCTGAGCAGTTACCTCATTCCATGGTTTTACATATTTTTCAAGAAGGGGACAAGATCTAGATTCGGAGTTCTCGTTTGTTTATGTATTTTATTTGATTCTTTTGTAATCAGTAGTAGAAATATAGATAAATTGATATATTAATGGAACTCTTGCTTATTATACATGATTTTTAAGAAATTTGCATAGTTTATATTTCAATGTATATGATTATTAGTTGATTCCGTTGGACTAAATTATCTTGATAGATTATTATACTCAGTAGATCAATTATAGATAAAATAGAAAATTCTTCCCAAATTGATCTTATGGTGTTATAAACCCATCATTTTATTGATTGTTTCGATTGGAAATGAGTGATTTGTGACTTTTGAAGAGAAGTTCATTTATGTGTGCTGATGATGATGCCACTTCAAATCTATTGAAATATGTGATACATTAATGTTCATTTAACATTTTTTCCACACCACACTTTATTTTTTGAGGTCTATATTATAAATTTTGACGAGGTCACTTTCTTCATTATTTTGTTATTTTTCACTTAGTATGTCCATTTTAATTGACTTGATTTATCTAAAGTTTGAGCAACGTTCTGAGTGACATCTCATGTTGTACTAACAAGTTCTTAAGTTTTGAATTGCACGACCCTTCATTATTTGTGGGGTACAATATTACGCGACTACAAGTAGAATTTGATATAAGCAATGAGTTATGGTTCGTGCACCTTTAGAGGGTGATTATTAAAACTCATTGAAGGAGGATGAGTTATGCATGTTATTTGGGCCAACTTCATGGTCAACTATGTCTCCCTTGTACCACAAAGGTGTTAACCATACTGTAAATCTTAATATTAATATGATGATGTAAATATTATTTTATTACATAATTTATTTTTCTTTTTAGTTGATACACTATACTAAATTTTCAACCTTGAAAGGAAATATGTTCATACAAAAGTATGTATGTATGTATAATGTATTTATGTATGCATGTGTGTGTGCATACACTTTTGTTGAAACATACTTATGTTCTCAATTGTTTTGTGGTTGATGGTGTTATATTTTGATTAAAACATATAAGTTGTTTTTTTTTTGGGTGAATTCTTGCTCTTTATGGTGTTAAGGGCAACTTCGATAAGTGCAAAGTATCCTACCTATGAGCCTTGGTTCTCTTACAGGTCTTTTATTTGGAGAATTCAACTCACATGTGGGAAGTAGTCAAGCAACATTAGGACCCGAGTCTAATCTAAGATGGCCACAATCCTAAGCTTAAGTTTTTCTACCCATTTCCTACATAGTCAAGTTTTAACTATGAAACAAGCATTAAATAAAAAATATCTTAGAAAGAAATAATTTTACCTAATTATCATGTTGAATTTTTTCGAACTCTATGTATAGAATTGCCTTTTGCTAGACTTGAATATGGGGGCATCCGTTTAGACTCGGTAGATAAGAGGGACTCATGCCCCACTCAATGAAAGGTTGTAGAAAAAAGGGATATATTTTGACATAAGTGATATGAGTTATCTGCCTAAGATGAACTTAAATAGTCTTAATGAGAGGTTGCTGCCTCTGCTCAATGATTGTCCCTCACGAGTAGGTCTCTAGGCTGAGTAGTGCACTTTGACTTAGCCATGATATTGTACTCCATAGTATTGTTGTGGCTATCGCTAAGCTTTAGCAACTTCACCAAAGGCCCTATGTTTTGATACCTAATAACATACTTGAATGACCCTTATGCCTTAGGTTTGAGCTGCTTGGGGTTGGCACTAGGTCTTTAAGCTCTAGCTTTTCCTATTGGGACTTGACAATGAAAATTCTCAGAGACTCAATATGCTTCTGCCTCATTTTTCAGGAGATCTTGCAAATTCTTCAAAGGTATTTAATTATGCGCTCGCAAACTATGAGATGAACATTCTTTTGAACAAGGAGAAGGGTGTGATAACACCTAAAGGTTGTGAGACCTCGTTCCCTTACTGTTCCTCTATGATTTGAATTTTCCTCTCAGGATTGTCCAGGACGATTTTAGATCTTCCAGGCCGATCGGCACTGTAGAAAATATCGGCCTGAGGATATTTCTGGGAACCATCCAGGACGATTTTTCTGGTCTGATCGTCCCGGGACGATTTGGCGATCGGCCGGGCCGATCAGACAAATGATATATGAAAATCTGATCGTTTTGATGTGAGAGAAAATCATTTTTAAATAAAATATCTGATTTGAGGAGAGAAAAAGAGAAAGGGAAAAAGAGGAAAAGCTGGATTTTGAACAACCAACACTTCAATGCATTATTGATGTTAATCAACAAGGTTATCGACTTAAATAACACAATATAGCTGGTGGGGTTTGATCTTCTTTGGTGTGACTCAAGATTAAGCATGTCAAACCTCATTGGTGGCTTTGCTTTCGTGATCTCCTTAGAGAACACAAAGGTTAGCCATGGTACCTTCTGCATCACTCATGTATGTGGTGGAGTTAATTCTTCAATGTTGGTATTGTAGTGGGTCTCGATTGTTTGCCTATGACATCATCTTTGGATTACTAAGTATAAGGATCCTTCTGCCATGTTTGCCTTTAAGGACCTCTCTTTGGACTCATTTCAACATTCAACATTCTCACAAGTCTTTCCTACATCTCTTATCAAATCATTGATGGTTCATAAAGTTTTGGTTCCATGTTCATTGACCTCTCATTATCTGGTTGCCATGTTTCATGCATTGTTTTACTTATGAACACTTACATTAATCCATGCTCACCACATCTATGTGATTGTTAGATCCAATTTTGTTTGTGAGCGACACCTTGACACTATTGGTCAGTCTAACTAGGTAAACAAGACAAATATAGAGAAGATAAAAAAAATAAGTGAGTGAACTGAGTTTTGGAATTCACATAACTGCATGAACTTTGAAAATAACATAAAAGATATAAAAAATGCTTTTTAACAATTATTTATCAGATTAGAAGGGCTATAGGAAAGTCTATACATAGAGAAATATTAAGCAATGCATTATTTAATTGTTACATACTATTTCACCCCATAATATATTTTGAAGAATTATTCCTAATTCTAATTAAATTCATTGATAATTAACACCCACAACCAAATAATTTCACCAAAATACAATAAATATAAAGACATATATTGCTATTCATTTTTCTCAAAAGAATCATATACCATAATCGAGTATACTTTTTGTTCTCATAAGATCTCAAAAAACCATAAAGAAATTGGATTTCCAAAAATACATTAATAGTAGTAACATATCTATTCTTCAAATTTTAACCTTATCAACTCCCTTTTTCTACCCAGCTCAGGCTTTATCCTTTCCTTAAAAAACATTTGAATTCACAGAGTGAGCAAACCACTTACCTCGATAAGATATCCAAAACCTACTAAGAAATTCAATATTTATAATTTAAAAAGTAGTAAAAAATAAATAATGAGTTTTATTGTTTGGCTTAACTAATATTCATAAAAAGTTCTTTTTATAAAATGAATTCAACAATTCATTTAATTATTAATAGTGTTTACATGCCAAAAGTAAACCTTTATTGCACCGATAAGTCATAATAATATGATTTTGAGAGTATCAACCACATGATCAATTCTTAAACTTATACGTGACAACAACATAAATTTAAGCTGACCCGAATTCAAACAAGACAAAATTCATATGCATATATTTACTGATATTTTAACTTAAAGGCTTACTTTGAACAGCTTTTTTATCGCTTCTTAAAACAGCTTTGAGAGTGATAAAAAAATACGTATATATATTTTAAAATTCTAACTCAAATTCTTTCCAAATATCTATATCTATATATATATATATATATATATATATATAAAATCACTTAAGTTGACCCGAATTCAACTAAATTTGACCCGAAAGGCGAAACCTTCCCTTCTTTTTTTTTTTCCATCAGATTACGTGTTCGGCATTTACTAGTCGTACCTTCGTCACGTTCGAGTCCCTCGCGCTTAGGTCTTCCTGCTCGCCTCGGCTATATTGCAATCGGGAGCCGCGGCAGCCGGATTGATCTCAGTGGCCAATACCAACGATCTGCTATGTTCCTCGTCGATTGGTTCTACGGCATCCTCGCCTCGCTGGGGCTATGGCAGAAGGAGGCCAAGATTCTCTTCCTGGGTCTTGATAACGCTGGGAAGACGACACTCCTCCACATGCTGAAGGACGAGGTGCGTAGGCTATAAAGTTTTCGGTGGATCGGTTTCTTAGATTTCGGCTTTCCTCTAATTGGGCAAAAGTTTAGCGAGATTAGCTTTGGATTTCTCTACATCTATGTTTTATTTGACCCGAATTGAGGCGTTTCTTCAAATTTTCTTGGAAACTCTTTCATTTTTCTTCTTGATATTGATTTTGGGATAATTTCGTTCAAGTCTGGTTGGAAGAAGCATCCAACTTCAGCTTTGAAGTTATTTGGCTTTTTGGTTGGGAGAAATGGGGAATTCATGAATGTAATTTTTTTTTTCTTGCGTCTTTTTTCCCTAGATGATATTTTTAGATACTACCTAAAAAAATGTTGTAAAATTGGCGAATGTTATGTGTTGGCTTTAGAGCTTATTTAATGTTGGATTTATACTTCTTGATGCTTTAAATCGATTTGAATTTTTGTGAGGCATTCGGTCTTTCCATTTGGTCCAGACCTGGTAATATGAAAATTCTCATTTTCTACGAGCTTGCTTTGTTGTCATGCTTGGGCAGAGGTTGGTTCAGCATCAACCGACACAGTACCCTACTTCGGAGGAGCTCAGCATTGGAAAGATTAAGTTCAAAGCGTTTGATCTTGGAGGGCATCAGATTGCGCGTCGGGTGTGGAAGGATTACTATGCAAAGGTCCTATATTCCTTTCTCCTGGTTAAATTTTTCATTTGAGATTCTTATATTGAACATTTCCCTACTCATATTACATTTTTCATTTCTGTGAATATTGTTTCTTTACTTTTTCTATTTTTTTGTCTTATAAATTCTAAATTTTGGATTCTTGATGCTAGCTTCTGTTTGTATTGGTTTCTGATATGATATTTTGCCGCTTCTTGAAATTGGTAGAATCACATCTGATATCGATTGTAAGATGCCTTATTTTTTTTAGAGAAAGCTACACGTATGTGAGATATTAAATGGACCTGTTATCTATATAGAGTTTCCCTGATGAAGGTAGTTTCTTTTTTTATTTTTTAGTTACTTTAAAACTTAAATGACTGATTCGAGAAGCATAGTAGAAAATTTGAATTCTTTATATATAATGTGTGTCCGCCACTTCTAGCTTATACATTATTTTTTTTATTAATGACAAAATTATACTGTTTTCTTTGTTTCTATGATGCTGAGGTGACTTAAATTAAGAGTTACCAGATGCAATTCCTTAAGAGGCAGATTTAGTGTTATTATTTCTCTCTTATACATGACTTTATATTATTCGTTCAAGGTTTCTCTTAGGAGTATAACCTTATGGTTAACTAACTTTCTCGATCAAAGGAGATAACTCTTTATTGAGAATAGTTGCAATGCTCTATAATAATTTTATATTGTAATGGTTTCCCATATTGGCTCGACTTGTTGCATTTACCTTTTTTAATGTTGAGTGTTGCCTTTATGCTCAAAGAGATGGTGAGAGGGATGATGATAGACCTTGTCAATATATTTCAATTATTGAGGGTTTGTTAGTGCACCTCAATCTAATTACTAAAAGGGTATTTTTTTTTCTTTGACCTCATGATCCTTATTAGCATCCTTTAGTTACCTTGTTTAAGAGAGTCTCATAGACTTCGGTTGAATATTTATTGCAGAAGCCTTAATATAAAAAGAAAAGAGTTATAAGCTCATCCATCCTCTCTCTCTCTCATCTCCTCTACTTAAAAGTATTTCATATTGTTAATTTCTTCTTGACTCGAGAACACCAATGTTTGGTGTCCATAATCCTCCTTTACCAGCCGGTTGATCAGGTTTTTGAGGTGCTTACAGTTGTTGTTGTCATAGTTGTAGTCTTGATGGTTGAGGCAATCGATTAATCTATCTCTCTCTTCATTTTAACACAATTTGATGTAGAACGAATGGGGTGGGGGGGAATTTGAAAATTGGAATTAAATTAAATGAGAAAAGGGTAAAAAGATTAATCAAAATCTTCAATTAAGGGAGAAAAGATTTAATCAAATACAATTCCAAATTGATTGGAATTTGATTTGAAGAACTTTCTAAAAATAGATATAGTAATTTAGGAAAGGTTTTGAATTTCAAACTAATTGAATTTGAATTCAAAATTCTTTTCAAATTATCTTTAACCTAATTTAGGAAAACGAAGGGGAATGAAGGAGGGAAGATGCTAGGGGTAAGGAGGTCGGCCGGCTATGGAGGTGGAGGGGTTTATGGCCGGCGGTTGATATGGATAAAGTGGGGGCTTGTGGCTTTGGAGGGGTTTGTGGGAGAATCGGCCGGTGGCAAGTGAGGGATTTTGGCCGGCGGTCAAGGGAGGAGGATAAAAGGATTTAAGGAAAGAAAGATGCAACCATGACCCCGGACACATCCTGCAGCTAACGGGTAATACATTGCCCTTCTCCAAGGGACTTCAAGCCACGAGCCCGGACCCATCCTGCGGCTGGTGGAAGCTCCGATTCCCTCCCATAGAAATCTCACCCAAGTTCTCTCCAAAGAACACAAGTGCTAACCTTTTTTTATTAATAATTCATCATTGATCTCATACAAGAGCAAGGTCCTCTATGTATATAGGCCTCAAAACAAAAGAAATTAAAAATACAACTTTGCCCCTTGGGCTTACATAAGACAAGACTCTTAAATAAGGGTAAAGATGAGAAATGCAAAATTAAATCAAAATACAATTAATAAACTAAGATAAAAAAGGAGTGATCTCGGCCATTAATCTTCGTCTCTTCCATTGAGTAACGTCTACTGTTGGATGTCCGCATCACAATTGCAGGACCACTTGAAATAATCTTTGTGTTGAATGACAATTAAAACCATTGGGGGATATCAATTAAGAGACGTGTCTCTCATTTCATAAATTGTTCTTGGTTTGGAACTTTGGGTGCCCGTAGAGGAAATGCCCCTTTTGTGTTCCTGGATAGATGGCTTTGTATGCCCTCAGTGTAGAAGACTTAGTCTCGAGGTCACAAGTAAAACCAAGCTTTTTGGTGGAGCCACTGAGGAGGGAAATTTAACTACACCTCTTAGGTTTTTGAGGTTCTTGTAGTTGTTGATGCCATGGCTATAGTCGTGGTATTTGAGGCAATGTTTTAATCGATTCCTCTTCTTCGAAGATAACCTAGTTGCAGGACCGCTTTAAATAATCTTGGTTTTGAATGGCTATTAAAACTATTGGGAGAGATCAATTAAGAGATGGGATCTCTCTTTTCTTAAATTGTAATTAGGCTGGAAGTTTGGGTGCTTGAGGAGTAAATGCTTTTTTTGTGTGTCTTGGTAAATTGCTTCTTGCAACCCCAGTGTGGAAGACTTAGTATCGAGGTCACATGTCAACCAAGGTTGTTGATGGAGCCAATCAAAAGGGAAATTTAACCCCCACCCCCTTCTCATTTTATGAACTTATCAACGTTAAGATATTTGCTGTCATTGGCTAACAACGTTAAAGTTATTGCAGCTGACTTTTTTCATGATTACCCAATTTCTCGCACCCTAAACAGAGGCCATTGTGGCAACTATTCAGCCTCAATATTGGACCTCCAACGGTTCCCTAGTAAATCTTATGATATGTGTAGTCAAGGACTCATGCTCCTCTTGTTATTTAAGTTTCATTTGACATCTCTGCATTAGTGTGGACAATGAGCTGCCTCTTGAAAACTTTGGTGTTGAGATACTTCTTGTCAGGAGCTTAGAGAACCACCATTATACGGCATTCCTTTATATTAGTAAGCACTACACAATATCTGATCGCGTTAGATACCATACAAGGCCATCATGGCTTCAAAGCCAACAAGATGCTTCCTCGGGTCGGTTTTTTCTCTTGAAAAATTCAATTAAGTAACTTTGAACTTTGTTGTCGCAAGTTCTTTCATTATTTATGCCGTGAAGGCAGATGTGGGTATTATAGCCCTTGTTGACTTTGCTCATTTTTGCGTCACTTCTTTAGAGGTATCTAGGTAGGTTCCCTCAAACTCATCTACCCTGTGCTATGGAGTGTTCTCTCTCCCATAAGCATTTGTTGCTTGAGAGGCCTTTTAGCATATCTTTTGCTTTAGCAATAGCAAGGTTTAAAATTGCGCAATTGGGTATTGAGGTGTTTTTTTTTTTTTGTGAGGCGAGGCATAAGCGTCAATGCGTTTTGAGACGTAAGCCTCAAAATCTAAAAATTACGTAAAATCAAAATAAAAGTTAAAATTGATTTTTTATATAACATCCAAATAATATGTTAAAGGATGACATATTAATTTTCTATTGAACTATGAAGTAACAAATTTGTATATATATGAAATAAAAAATTGTATAAGATGTAAAGTGTTAAGTGATAAATTATGTGAAATAGAATTGAAATCCAACTATTACTGGAACAAAATAACACAAAATATATGAATTGTATTAAAGTATCTTATAACATCAAGTTCAACTATAAATTTTTTCTTTCTCAGTTGCCTACTCATCTACGATTAATTCCTAAAGAAAGCTAAAATAATTGACCACAACCACAACTCAAATCATTTGTACTATTATTACTAAGGGGATTTTTATTTGAGTCACTGTCATAACAAATTGGTCTATTCCTTTTCTCATCCTGTAGGGTCCAATACCTCTCAATCTGCTTATGCTTCTTCATTTATTTCAATTATCTTCATCATTCATAAATGTTTGTCATCAACATAAATATAAATATATAATACTTCAAAATTTTAAGAGGAGATGGTGGTTGCGTGCGGCTTTCTAGTGATCCCCTACGGTGGCTATGATGGTGGTGGCTATGGTGAAGGTTGTTAAGAGAAAGTTGATGCGGCTTTGGGCTGCAAGAAGGCATGATTATTTTTGGGGCTTTTGTATAGGATTTAGGTAAGTTTTAAATAAAAAAATATATAAATAGAGTAAGGCGTATGCCTCATGCCAGTGAGGCGAGGCATGCCTCAAGGCCGGGATCATCCAAGATGAGGCATAAGCCTCATTAAAAAAGCTTGAGGCGTAAGCCTTGAGGCTTTTTTTACTGGAATTGCACTGAGGCGAGCCTCATATTGCGCAATTTTAAACAATGAGCAGTAGATAATGGCTAATTGTCATGACTCATAAGGAGCAATTGAGTCAGCTTGGCAATGTACAACTTCATTGATGCAAAGTGCAAACTGTGGTTAGGTGACATATGTCATCTATCATGTGAGGTCTTCAGAGGGCCTCAAATGTCTAATATTTTTTCTTTAAGTATATTACAATGAGAGCACTGAAGACAAAAAAATCAACATATATGAGTCATATATTTCTTTAGGTTGAGGAAATAATTTGAGTAGTGTTGATCGAACATAGAATTTGGGAGGAGTAGAATGGTGAAGAGAGAGGGAAAGAGATAGGTGAACTAGAACAAAAAACTTCAAGAGGAGAAGCATTGAATTCTTCTTTTTTCTTTACTGATAAAAAAAAGTTACAATGGGGACACTTTAGCTCTTTTTGTTATGGTTTATGCTCATGGTTCTCTCAAGTGTGGTTTGGGTTCCCGAAGCGACAAGAAGACTAAAAATGTAATGCTAAATGGGATTACTTATTAGAGGTTTTGGGTTTTGTTGCAGATAAGGCTCCACAGTCATGTAATATTATTGGATGCTTCCTCTCAATAATGATATTTCTTATCCCATTTATTCTATCGCCTCTATGTTAGTAAAAGACTAGGAGGCATGCTTACTTATTGGCCATGTAATGACAGTATGGGATGTTGGCCACGCGACATGTGTTCAACAGTTGGCCTCGAGAGATGGTTGTTGATTGAGTAGAACTGTGATGATAGGAGGGGTATCATACACCCTTCTTTCCCATAAATGCTAGATGGAGATGTCATGCATCATACATTAAGGTTTCTGGTCATTTTTAGGCCGTGATCTATGAGATTTGTAAGTAGGCTGATGTTATAATGAATGTCGTGTGCTTATATGTTTGCTAGAATGTATCGTGGTACTGTCTGTCAAGAGGTTCTTAGGTTCGACCCATTTCCAAGTAGTTAGTTTTAGGTATTGCCCTTGATCTTTAGTCTCCTTAGGCGTCATGCCTGTAGATTGCTCAACTTATATAAACCCACATCACATCTCATGAAATTTGGGAAATAATGAATTGATATGTATCCCTTAAATTTGATATGAAAGTTATTGGGCCGACCAAGATTTGCACATGAATCCAAGAGTTTATTTAATCACAACTTGAATCTTGATCAACAACCCATATGATTTGCCATTCGGGCTGATGTATTCATCGCTATCTAGCCAGGAAATAACACATCACCGGGACATGTGCCTAATTTTTTCTTTGAAATTGTGCTATCTTCATGAAATGAACTTAAAATTACTAAATGATATTCAAGGCATGATATAGCAAAGGCATAGGCAAGAGATTTTTTTTTAAATTATAACATGTCTTGTGGATGAATCTTAAGAGAGGTAATAAATATCACAGAACTTCCTAAGAGGAAACGGTGATAATTCGAAATATGTTGAATTTGATCCTTATTTGGATATGTGGGTGACAACATAACTGTTCACGTATAAGAAGAACATTAAAATAATAGACTTCTATTTAAAGTTTGAATTTTATCTCAATGGAACCAAGGATCTCTTGTATTCAATATGCAAAGATTTATCTCAATCAATAGGTTCTCTATATAGTCTAAAAATGGCATTTTTATCTTGATGATCTTATTGAGATTTGATGGAGAGAAAAAAAATATTAAGTGACACAAGCAAGAAGATAAAATGTCCAACTTAAGATTTACTCATTGTTATAAATATGTATTTACAATTAAATGATTGCAAAAACAATTATATTAAGATTTCTAGTTGCGGCTCCAATGTGCTTTGTTTCTAGCATGAAATTGCTTTAAAATTTGAAAGGTCGAAATAAGTATAAAGAAACGACTATTTTGGGTTGCTAAATTTATTGGCTCGATCCTCCTTTGGTGTCGATCTAAAAGATTCAGGTATTTATAGGTATTGACCCAGCCGGGTCATTATATGCACTGGCTTGATCCTCCCTAGGAAGTAACATTAAAATTAAGTCAATTTGTTCTACTATAACAAGCCATTATATACATTAGTTCAATCCTCCCTGAGTTTTCTTACAAGAATTTGGATGTATTGCTTGAAATTAGGTCACTATGTGGACAGAAAATTGCTTTCGAATTTAAGGTCTTATGTGACTAGGGTATAAAGAAAAGACTTTAGATCGCTAAATGCATTAGCTCGATCGTACCTAGAATAAAAAAAATTTAGGTATTTGCATGTACTAACTAAGATGGGTTTTTGTATGTATTGACTTGTTCCTCCGAAGGTGCTGACATAAAAAATAATTTCGTTTTTTATACTAAGACAAGTTCATTATATACAAATTGGCTCGATCCTCTCTTAATGTTCCCAAAAAGTTGAAGGTAGATTAATGTATGTATGGGCTGAAATTGGGTTATTACATGAACATGCTCAGTCATCTTTAGCTGGTGATCTAATAATTAAGTTAGGCCACTATATGCATTAACTAAGCAGGGTCCTATATCTGCTGGCTTGATCCTCCTTAAGGAGTTTATTGGAAAATTAAGGCGGATGCATGCATGACTAAGTTGGGTTGCTATATGCACATGTTTGATCTCCAAAGGAACCAACTTAAAAATTAAGTCAGCATGTTGTTTGCATTAACTTGGATCTGGCTAGAACCCTAGGAGGTAGACTTAAAAATTATGCTAGGTCATTTTACACACTAAGCTTGTTCACTATATGCACTATTTTGGTTCTCCCTGGGAATTTATACGATATATTTTTCTTATAAGTAAAGATTTAATCTGAATTTTACTATATTCATTTTTATAAATGATGAGATGCTCATCGATTTTCTTAAATAAGGTATTAATAATTATAAAATCATAAGTTAGAGTAAAATCTAATATGGTTGTCACCTTCATTAATCACTCCAAATTCATAGCCACCATAAATGCTTTTAAAATCTTCTACCATTCTAATAAAAGCTCTTTCTTCAAGGGGTATCTTTTGTATTATATTTTTAAATCATTCCAAAATTTTAATTTTGAATACACATCCAAACCTATTTGAGGAGCATAAATATTTATAATATTAATAATCTTAACATTAACAATAATCTTTAAAGCTATAATTATATCTTCAATTCTATTAATTTCTACAACATTATCTTCAAATTTTTATCTATAATCACATCTACATCATTTCTACGACTTCTACTTAAATATCATAACTTAAATCTTAAACTATCAATCTCCTTAACTATTTCTCCAACCCATTTAATTTCCTAAATATGTAGAAAATTTATCTTTCTATAAATTATAATATCTATTAATTATATTAATTTGCCTATACAAGAACATATATTTCAAGTTACTATCATAAATCTAGTTTTATGGACTACTTTTTTTGCCCACATTCGTCAATGATAAGGAAACTTTTGCTTATTTAACATTGTACCCGAGAGTTGATGTAGTGGCCCCTTGCGTAATTCTCATTGTATTCAGGCCATACAATGCGTCGCTTCTAATTAATGCCTTAGCATTAACATAACGTATTAAAGTAGTCATGTTATGATTATTTGATAAGTTTTATGCTGGTCTGTCGACTGCCTTTAATTTTTCTATTGTTCATTATTTTTTCCCTTTATCGATTAACCCCACATAGTGGGATAAATGCTTGATGTTGTTGTGGTATCGATTAACGCTATCGTAGGAATATTAATCTTGGGCTATCAGCACATTTTTTTAGCATGTACTCTACCATGTTTTATAGTTAGAAAGATACTAAAACCAGCACATGATTTGATCTACTTGTTAGCGTTGCTTGGGGTATTTTTTAGATTTTTTGTTCATTTGGTACTATTTTGGTCTTAGCCTCGCCATTTATTTCCTACTTCGAAGCTCTCCAAACCATATTCAAGTGAAGGTGGCTTGCTATTGATATAAAAATCATGGATAAATGTTGCTTGTGGCTCTATTACATTTGCCTAAATGTGCACTCGCCATGTCGTAAACAATGCAGATTCTCTGCTCCTTTTCCTTGTCAATTATTTACTTTGAAAGACAGAATTCTCTGTTATATAGCTGATTCACTCAGCTTGAAAAGAGAAAAAAAGGAAGCAACTATGGATAATTCCATCTATTGCATCGGGGAAATGAAAAAAATGGTTAATTTTCTGGCTCGTCTTTGAGAGGAAGAATGGAAGCATTTCAGTTGGAAAAGTTTTCTATCAGGATCAATCTCAAAACCGTTGTATTTACTTTAAGATGAATGGAAATCATTAAAAAAATTATATTGTAGTAATCAATCTCAGAACCATTTGGATTTCAGAATTAAAATTTTGCAGCTCATCTGGTTTGATTGCACAGGTGGATGCAGTGGTGTACCTGGTGGATGCCTATGACAAGGAGCGATTTGCCGAGTCGAAGAAGGAGCTGGATGCCCTGCTCTCTGATGATTCCCTGACTAATGTTCCATTCCTCATCCTGGGAAACAAGATTGATATACCTTCTGCAGCATCAGAGGAGGAGCTTCGCTACTACCTGGGCCTGACCAACTTTACTACAGGCAAGGGCAAGGTCAACCTTTCTGAATCCAATGTCCGGCCTCTTGAAGTCTTCATGTGCAGTATTGTACGCAAGATGGGCTATGGTGATGGCTTCAAGTGGCTTTCACAGTACATCAAGTAAATCAAATCTTTCTATTTACTCAGTGTTTGCAGCAATGAACCTTTTTTTTTGTTTTGTTTTGTTTCAGAATTCTGTTTGATTTTGATTCCTTATGTCGAAAAGCATTTAATGGGTACCATATTTAATAGATGGGATAATAATGGAAACAGTTTAAAGATGGATGTAATTTGCAAAAGACATTTTGGGAGGAAATTTGGCTCAGGATATTACGACTTCAATTTGATCAGAATGAGTTTTATAGTTATCTGATTTTTGTTTTATTTGAAAACAGTGTAATATATAATTTTAATTAATTAAAATTTATATTATAGTAATACAAAAATAAACTTGATTCTTATTAGAATTCTTTTGATCAAATTTTAAATTAAAATAGGAGCTTGATCTTTTTTCTTTTCCAACATTTTTCTCTACTTTTTTATTTCTGTGATCACTTAAAATTTTCTTCTCACTCTGTATTTATATGAGAAATAAGAATGATCTATGAACTCCATATCTATATCATAAAATGCGAGTTGGTAAAAGAAAAGTCTGCCAAGCAATTGCTCTAAAAGATTGTGCTTATTGAACAGGGGAACTTTTGGGTTAGAATGTTCTGATTCATATAAGCAGGATTAGTTTTTTTAGTCAGTGGTTTATTTTAAGATGAGTGTAATAAAATATTTAATATATTATACTCATTGCAAAGCTAATTCAATAATTATAAAATTGTACTAGCCAAGTTTGAGATGTGTCACTGTTGAGGATCTATGGAAGGGAGAAGTCTTTCTGAAAAATATTATCATCGAGGGGAGAAATTATTTTGTGCGGAGATTGAACACAGAATGTCATATGGAGGCCAACTAGAATGTGTCACGTCAGCAGTACCGAGCAGTATTGAGCTACTGTATTGAGCAAAGTGGCACTTTTTTGGCTGATCTCTGGATAACATTTGGCGCCCACATAGAATGGATTACATAGAATAATTAATCCATTGAGGGGCTCTCTAAAGAGGAGAGATTTGTGGCTGGTTTGTCTATTTGATGTAGCTTGAGTTTAGAGGACAGGTGGGGTTAGCCCAGAAAAGATGCATCCTCATGGGTTATGAAATAGCTCAAGGATATTGGTTTTTCATGAAAAATTTAAACCGAATTGATTTGGTTTGATATTTAGATGAAAAAAATTAACAAAGGGTAAAAACTCAATATCTTATTTTCAATATGCTGCCTATGATCACGACAAAAATAGTACAAGCCATCATTGCTAATCTCTCATTTATATTTGCACTTTTCTAGATTATAAATATATGTTTTTTTATACTTGGCCTCAATAAAACAAACTGCTTTTTTAAAGTTATTATATCAGCAACTCTTGTTATAAGAAAATAACTTCCGACTATAAAAGTTTCTTTAAAATGGTGAGAAAGCAACAAGAATATAGTAGCCAAAAGGAATTGTAATTGCTGTCATTTCTCAAGACCTAAAAGTCGAAGAATTATTTATTCTATCTTTTAATTAATTTACTAGAACTACTAAATTCATTTATCTAATAAAACACAACAGAAACAATCATACACATTAAAATATTTCACTATAATTATTATTTACCAAAATTTATTTACACTAGCCAGAAGTGCAATCAATACATCAGACTATCTTTCAGTACTCTTGACTATCAAAAATAAAGAAAAATGTATAGAAGTATAAATATGAAACTTTAAAATCAAATTAGCCTCACTTCAGTGAATCCTTACCCAAATCTGAAACAACAAAATCAAGATCCCTACCCAAACCTGAAATATTAAAATCACAGAGTAAGCTAAAAGTTTAGCGTGCTATTAGAATCTGCTATTGTTATCAATGTATGATAATAGAAATAATATGTATAAAAACATTCAATCTAGATAAGTATGAACAATAACATTTATAAACAATGTGAATCTATATATGATTAATCTTAATCAAAGTGTAAATCAATAAAATCAATATGTTTTGTCAGTTACATACATCATAATAAATAAATGCTGTTTCTATACTAAATTAGTATGCCTACCACATAATATCATGAGGGAAGAATAGTAGCTCCAAGTGCCTATAGACTAGTATGTATAGGAGAGTCTATTAATGAGTCTAGAGTAAAGAGATCCGTGATTGGCGAGCAATTACAACCCAATTCAATATGACACAGACATAACAAGCTACATTGTGTTGAATGGTGACATACCAAATCCAAGATTAAAATTTTTGATACTATTTAGATTTCCTTTTATTTAAAAAAGACTACAGAGCTACTAATGAACATCCAATGCTAAAAAATGAAGTCATCAATAAATTTCTTTTCAGTCATCATCAAAATTATGCATATAATAAAATCTCTACACTATAGTGCATGACTACATATCAGAATGATAGGAAATACTTGGTTTCAAGTAGTTCCTAACCAAAATTGGAGTAGAACCAGGAGAAAACCGCTGTTTTCAGCAGTGGACAGCAGTTTTACCCAAAAAAACAGTGAGAGATCCGGGAAAACTGAGAGCAAACGCAAGCAAAGACTTGTATTTTACTAGTAGACGAATAAAATAGTAAAGATACAATTTGTTCTTCAATCCGAGAGGAAAAACAACTCTCCAATCTCCGGCAACGCCAAGAGCCCAAAGCAAGAAACCCTAGATCTCAAATTGTAATTCAAATTCCCCATTAGGAATCAATTCCCCCCCAATCCCCTAAATAAACACAAAGGACAATAATAAACTTCCTAAAACAGCCCCCAACATTCAAATTTTTCCCTCCTAAGATCACCCAAGCCAACGTGGCCCTCCTCTAAATCCCGCTCCCCCTCTGTTTTTTCCGCCTGGAGTAACAGTGGACCGGTTCGAGCTGGACCGGTCCAGCTGGCCCCTCCTGGGCCGGCGTAACACAGAACATGACAAAACAACAAGTAGTTATGAGTGTACAAAAATCAGAAAATATATATTGATTGCATAGGTATGAACCAACACAACTCAATAAGTCACATTCATCGCGTTTTGAATGCAATGACGAAGTCCGTTTTGCAATCAGAACTCAGAAGTCGTTTGGGCGACACCGCATATCAATTTCCTTGATATGCATGTCATTGCCTCGGGATCCATGCTAATCTCCTCGTATGACTTTCGTTGAATAATTCTATAGTCATTTTTGGGTATTGATGATGCTCTAAATGCAACAACAATGTCTGTTTTACGATCGGACGTTGTTTGGGCAATATCGCGTGTTAATTTCGAGTGTTGGTCGTCCACTTTGACTATTTACACTTGATTTGAGCATGATGGGTTCCCACTAAGGAAAATTTGGCACTCCGATTGCAATGACGTTGTCCGTTTGGCAATCAAAGGTTGTTTGACCGTTCAAGTGACTGTCGCACCAACGCGTGCGTCACTTGATTCACCAATTTTGCCCTTTTTCACATGTTTTGATGTCATATTCAACATTTATTTATCACACATCAGCAATGTATTTAGCTCATTCCATCCTCAATACATTGCTGTCATTTTCTTCAATATTCAGCCTGTGGGATTATACTTTAGCTTGCAAATAAGTTGTATGGCTCATCAGGAGCCTTCCACCATTCACTTGCAAGTGAATTGATTTATCCGGAGTGTAGATTGGCATCACAAATCTTTTGTCTCAATTTATCAGTGACCCTTAGTGTTTACTACTGATTCACAGATTTTGCTTACATGTGAATCACAGTGTTGCGCTGTAGATCATTTGCTGCTTTATACATGTAAATTATCGCGCACTAACGAATCATTGCAATAGTTCGTAGATGCCTGCATTTGCTGCTTGCCATTAGCCTTGTTCCTTGTCATTAGCCTTTGCTTGCAATGGACCAGCATATTTGCCTTACTTTGCATGGTGATTGACTGCAAGGTTATTGTAGCATTCACTGCCTTTGCTTGCAATGGACCTACGAGATCGTACTTCAGCGTTGCGACTCTTCTGTCATTGTTGGCAGGCATTTGCATTTGCCAGTTGCCACGATCTTTTATCCCATGCATATAAAGGATCCGTCATATTGGCGATACATTCTCCATTGTTGCTTATAGATATGATCGATGTATGCATTACAAGCTCTCCGCTATCATATGTGGACAAACTGTGTTGAATGCAAGTCTTCTTGTGCTGCTTGTAGGAATTTGCATTTACTAGAACCCTTCTGATGTTACTTGTAGAATGGCATCCAATGTCATCGTCTGTAGATGAGTTAGTGTATTTGTCTGTAGATTTAACTGGTAGTGATTGTAGAAGAGTAACTAAGCTCATTACGAGCCTTTAACCTTCGCCAGCAGATGAATTATTGTGTCATATGTTCATTTTCTTACTTATAGGCTAATTGACATGAGCATTGTGAGATTTATGTTATTTATCTGTTGGGAATTGTGCACAATTGCCTGCATTTATATTGTCACCATCTTTTCTTGTTCTTGTTGATCATTTTTTGCAGGAAATCATGCTTGGAGTTTTGTTCATCACAAGTTGTTGCCTACAAATTGCTTATGCTTGGAAATTGGTCTATCACGAGTCTCCTCGTTATTCATTAATATTCATTTGAATGATTTGAACCATATTTGGGATTTATACTTTTAATTTAACCATGCATGTTAAGGTTTAGTGTTCAATTCCCTGTCATCTAAGTTGCATGATCTGTTCCATGTGGTCCAATTTGCAAGTTCATTTCCTTGTCATTTAGTTTAAGTTCAGGTCATCTATTCACTAAAAATTTCGGCAGCTTCTTTGCGTCTCCCCTATTTAAGGGAATTTTGGGGAGCTGGGCCTTCCCACCACGTTATGAGAGCGTGTATGGTAGTTGTTGAGTGACACCGCGGCCATGATTCTTCAATCCCACCACGCTACGAGAGCGTGTATAGGTCTTCGAGGTATATGTTTAAAATGTGCAGATTTTCCCTGCAGGCACTGAGGCAAGTACATGGGTACTTAAAGTTGTTCTCGCCACGCTACAAGAGCTTATACAGAACCTACCCATCTTGCCGGAAGCATCGCTCCAGGTTCCTTCCACCATGCTACAAGAGAGTGTATACGTGGCCCCCCGGCGCTTCGCGAGCACTGAAAGCGGAATTTGGAGTTTTTAGGGTTTGGGGACATTATACCTTAGCGACGAGGGCGACAATAGTTTTAGTGGCATGAGGGTTGACGCACCAAAGTACATATACTTTTCTTTTTTCATTTCTTCTCTTTTTCACTCACTTTTTTTGTTCTCTTTCTTCTTTTTTTTTTTAACTGAGGTGTAAAGTGGTGGCTGTTAGGGTGAAGTTAGGAATATGAGGGCTCGGGTATAGTTGTACTCGAACAAGAGGGGATTTGGCCGACTGTAAAGGGGGACGGAACTCAGGTGTCAAGTGGTAGTTCTTGGAGTTGGATAGGACACAACTATTGGTTGGTTCGATTAAGGTAGGGGAGTTCGGCTTCAACAGGTTTCGAGCAGGGATCAAACGTTTGGATTAGAGTTTGTGGCTGTGAGCGGGATTTGATCGTCATAAATGAAGTTTGGACGAGAGTTTTCCTGGAGTTTGTAGGTTGTGTGCGGTTATGACTACTTGGAATAGGGATAGGCAAGCCTGGAATCTTGTGGTTATGGCTACTTGGAATAAGGATAGGCAAGCCTGGAATTTTTTATTTGATTCTACTGAGTGTTCACCTATCAAGTGAGGAGTGACGATTGTTTACCCATCGAGTGATGAGTGATTGTTGACCCTTGGTGAGTGCACCTGACAAGTCCTTGTTGAGTTCCTAGGGTGAGTTCCTCGAGTATTTGCAACTTTTATGGTCTACTGTTCTATTTCTTGCAACGCTTAGTTTCGGATCTGTAATATCAGTCCATGATCACCGCATCTTTCAAAATGTTGGATCCAAATATATTCGTGGGTGATACCTAAACATTACTTCTAAGACTAAAATTCTCACAACATAGTAGTAGACATAGAAAAAGGGGGAAAAGTGATAGATGAGAAAAAGGGCAAGTGCTCTGAAATGACTTCCCCTTCTCTTGAAATTGTCCTATGACTCTTTATTTATATGGTTATGAGGATACATCAAAACCTATATAAAGAATATATTCATTTACAAAAGGCATGTAGCCCAATATGTAGCTAGAAAAATATAAATATACACAAACAATTAACATGTGGATTGTCAATAGGCAAGTGTTCACATGGCAAGTACTCATATAACGAGTACTCACACAGTGAACACTCACATTGAGAGTACTTCTCGCCGTGTAACAAGTGATTCTTATGTCCCTGGCAAGTTCTTCATCGCCTTCAACAAGTGCACCCTTAACCTTTCTTGTCTAGATTGAGTTTGATTGACTCAGGTCATTGACATATTCAGGTATACAGTTTCTAATATGTCCATTGTTAAAACTGAATATTTGCAATGTTAAGTGTAAGTATTACACAGATCAATGACAAATAAAAAAATTATCTGTGCAGAAAATTAAAATTCTGTACGAGTTACATATGTGGCAATGAAAACATAGTGAAAACAACCAAATCTCCTCCTTTTTGTTTCTTCTATATTTCTTCCTTCTTTTCTGGTGTAAAAAAATAAAATAAATTTTACCAGCTCTCAGCTTATAAAAAAACGTTCGTCGATCAACATCTTACCGAGAAAAAGGATTATTGCTGCTAAAAGATAATGAGGTGTAATTCTCTAAATGCCGAGCACCAAAGAAGCAACTAGAATAAGATCAATATAAGAAAAATATAACAGCAACATAATCACCTCTTACTTTCCACTGCTCTTGATACCAGACCGTTTCCCATCACCTGAACCCGGCTGTCTTGCAGTCCGGTTGGGTATCTGGCTTGGCCCATTCAACATTTTTCTTGATGGAGAAGGGATATTTCCATGGCTCAAGTTCCTGATTAGTTCAAGCAGAAGAAAGAATTAACGTTTAATTAGACTGTACGAAGCAAATTAATTGAATAATAAAACATTTTGTTGCTAGAGGCTCACATAATCAAGTATTAAGACGATAATATCAGGAATTCACTGGCTAAAATATCCTATGTTAATCTCTTGGTTGTTCTCGGAAGAACATCTCATTCTAGTATCGATTGGCTTAAATCGATGATTTGGCAAAGCTATTAAATAGCTCTTGGCTTGGATTTATTGATTCTTGCACTATAGAAATTCTTGATGCTCCTTGTTGTACCATCATGAGTTTGTGAGAGGGTGTTAAGAATTATTAGGTTATCATTTTAATATTATCACATGTGCTTAATATTTATTAGAAATTTATAATATTTATTATTGTAATATATTCTCAATTCTAATTAGGGAAGATATTCTCACTTATTATACTTTTTTTATAGTTCTATTCTCTTGCCTATATAATCTTGTTTGTACTAGTACTAGGATCATTCAAGTAAAGATACAACTTGTTTATAATTTCCATCAATGTGTACTTATGGTTAAACTTTCAATTGTTCTTTGAATGCTAAAATGCAAATAAATAAATGATCTAAGTTATTAGCATGACAAAAAATAATAATCATTAAGTTAACATAAAATGGAATAGTTCTAAATTATGTCACCAACAAGCTGAAAAAAAAACGTTTTACCTTCCATCCACGCTCTTAATGCCCTTAGCTTGTGGTCTCCTAAGTTTTGACATGCCCACATCGGCTATGCTAGGAATCTTTGAAACACTCAAATGACTCAGCAGCTCTACCTCTGATGAATCGCTTGCAGAATTTTCAAAATCATCTGAATCGGAATCCAACCGGTTCTGCTGCAAATCATGTTTTTCTACTTTCTTACCACCAGCACTGCTGTTCACCTGCTGGTCAGGGAAAACTCTCATTTCATTTAAGTATCTCTGGAAGAAAACTTGTTCTTGTATCCCATCTTCTTCTCCAGAAGTAGCTCTGTTCCTGTTGTTCACAACCACTTTGTTAACCCACTCTCCTGACCTTTTCTCCAGGTTATTTTCATCTAGCCGTGGGCAACTCTCATGCCAAGGTAAGTCCATGGAGACTTGCAATTCTTCATCATGGTAATTTAGCTTATTTTGCCTTGTTGCATTGCTTATAGCCTGCAGTTAAAAATATAAAAGAACAATTCACATCAAATGAAATTACTACATGTCAAACACGCCGGCCAATGGACATGTAACTTCAATGTCAGGTTCTTAAAAAATATTAAGGTTCACAAAAAATATTAAAATGTAAGCATCAGCCACAGATATCCATTGCTAACTTGTTTGCACATTAGTCAAATACAAATTTTCTTGGGAAAGCAATGTAATGTCCTTTTATAACTTTTAACAAATTTCTCGCCAAATTACAACATTTTACTTGCACGGAAAACTAGATTTTTTTGGTCTCTGAAGCTTTGTGAAAATAGCAATCTTTTGTATCCAAAAAGGAGTTTCATTATGATAGATTCTTTACGCTGTTAAGAATTTTGACAATACAAATTTATAGGTAAAGCCAGATATCATTATTTCTATCAATAAATTGAGAATTGCTATTTGTAAATAATCATGAAGTGAAAGAAAAATACCAAATTGTTCGTAAAGATGTTTTGTTCCAAGCTCAGACATTGATTCAATTAAATATTACTTTACAAAGCTGTACATCAAAAAGTGTGAATCATATAAGATTGGAGATGTCTTGCTATGATTTGAACATCAAAACTTTGTAGCTCTTATCCTTGAAAATCATAGGAGAAGACTGAAGCCCAACCATACATAGGACTTGGATCATTCCCTACTTACAGCAACATAAATATTGTTAAAATCTTAGCACTAAAAATCAAAGTTTGAATTACTTGATGAGCAACATGAATATAATCTAGAATAAGTTTGGTTTCCACATTAATAAATGAAGCTTTATTTAAAACATTCACTGAAATAGTGCAGTCCGTATAGTTTCACATGTTTATTTGCCGAAGGAGAAGATTGAGTTAAAATCGTCAAAGAGTACAATTACCTCAATGTGGTCGGCTTCCTCCATTGACTGCCTGTTGCTGGTTGGATAGTCCAACTCATCTTCTTCATCATTTAATGATGTAGAACAAACAGCATCCGTCTTCAATCTTAATAAGTCGGGACTGAACATTGTAGGCCTTATAGGTTCTCCTGCGCCTTTTCTTACCGATTCCATTTTAAGAAAAGCTACCTGATGTGCAATTATGAAAGAAGAAATCAGTAACTGCAAGAACACGTACATTCCTTGCAAGATGGATAAAGGGAGCGGATGGAGAAAAGAGGGATGGGGGAAGACCTGCTCCTTAAGATCTTTAGCTTCACCGTTGTCTTTATTTATTTTAGCAGCCCCAAGCTCAACAGTGGCCACTCGCTCGGCAAATTTGAGTGTGCTCAATGTCTCCCCGAGAGCATCAACTTCTGGACTTATGTGAACAAACATTAGAGTTTTTGCTTGTCCTCCTGCATATAAGAAATAAAAACAAGCTAACAATACAAGAAATCAAAGTTTCTTTTGATTACTTCCATGCAGAGTTGAATCTTACCAAGTGAATCTTGAAGCAATTGTGTGAGTTTACTATTTCGGTATGGGACATGAGCATTTTTCCGCGCAAGGGAAGCTATCACATCTCCTAAAGCTGAGAGTGACTTGTTAATATATTGAGCCTCCTTCAATCTCTCTCCTTTAACCTCAGATTTATCAACCCTTTCACTGCCCGCCAAGTCAACAAGGTGCATGCATCCTCGAAGCGCATAACCAGATGTCAATTCTTTTCCTTGCACGTGAATGGTCAAGCAACTGCAAACAATTAGGCGGTATCAAATATTGAGTCATGGTTTCACCATGGGAAGTTTGTTTCCAGGCTGAGAAAACTAAAAGCGCAAATTGCAGATTGTCATAGTCTCAAGAGAGTTTTTCCATGGTTTTAGAATTTTTGTACGCAAGAATTAGTAGAAAAGACATGATTTGTTTATAATAACTAAAGGGAAATGAGAAAAATCTAAAAATATTGGGGAAGATTATAAATTATTGGATAGTGAAGTTAAAAAAAGAAATGGGATAAGGATGTGTGGGCTCAAAAAATTCGCACCCCGGCCTCCCCTCGCTTTCAGGGGAGTTTTAACGGATTAAATTGTGGGGTAAATTTTTAGAAGGTAGATTGGGTTTGAAGATAAGTCACTACCCAGAGATTTCACGCTCATTTTGCAAGGACTTTATGATCTGAGTTTTGATTTCCTATAGGAGAAAGCATCTATATTTAATTACCCCTCCCGATAATGAGAGAGAACTTTTGATTAAGGCTAGTCGTCAATCAGATACATAGAGATATGTGTATCTGGTATATAGTAGTAGCATGAGATTAGAAATTTCACCATCTTGCACTTAAAACAAATGGTGGGGGAATGGATGATGGACCCAATCAAGATCTCATAGTTTCGTCGTCCCGGCCCATCATGGTCCATGGTCTACTTAGTTAGAGGAGGTAGTTAACCCAACCTAACAGAAGGATCCTTATCGGCTTCGTCCAATGGTGCCTTGTAGACCTATGATGAATATTTGTCTAAGGGGACAAATTTGAATCCACCTTAGCTGACAGAAGGCTTTGTTCCTTATCGATCATATCATATTGATTTATATCTCAAGGATTTAGTATCATTGGGGGCATACGAGCTCTGACTATGACCGTAATTTAGTGGTACCATTTGGCGGCAAATCAGCGGGTTCAGAGCGCCAGGATCATAATTGTTTCCTTGTGGTGCCATTTGATGGCAAAATCGCCAGTTAGATGACACATACCACATTCTTGTTGGCAAGAGATTGTTTGAAAATGAATTTTAATGATATTCTTGACTAGACATTAGCTCTTTGTGAGCTGAAGTAATATTGAAATTTGCCTACCCCGACAAACTAATGCAGATTGTGGATGAATTTTGCTTTAAGTATTTGATGGTTGAATTTTAATTCTAAATATTTTGATTTTAGCATTTTTGGAATTTTGAGCTTTTATGGGCATTTGAAGGTGTAGAGTATTTGTACTTAACACCTCCGATTGATATCTAATTCAACACTGCCATCATCAGGGAATTTATGGGCATTTTTACTTGTTAATTGAACCTTGTCGACTCTGTCTACTTGTCGACAGAGGATCATGCTCTTCATGGGCTTTATGTTTTTATTAGTGAGTTTTCCTGGTTATGGGCATTGAAGTCCTAATATGAATGTATTTAAATAAATATCTCAGACGACGTTGTGGCCATATATTTGTTTGATAGTTCGAGCTGTGTCGACTCCTATCTACTCGCAGATCGGACTCGAACTTGGGTTTATCATTTGACCAGCGCAGCATCCCTAAACGTCACCCGTATACCCGTAACACGCTCGTTAGGGCCCATGCTGGTGTATACTCTCGCATGTATACAAGTTAATATACTTGCATGTGCACTTATGTGTTTATGTGTATGCATATCACAATGCATGTGTGGGGGCATTTTCTTTAGAATATTTGATTGATCTTCTACGACAGCTCGCATAACCTTGTATATGCTGCACATTATCCATCTCCGCTCGCCATCTCCGCTCGCACGGGATCGATGTATATGTCGACCATTGAGTAGTGGTTAATTGTAGGGGCGTTGTAACATCCACGAATTATTGATCACCATTGACTCATATTTATTATTGTGCATATGATGCATCTTCTATCATTGCCAGTAAGTGCTTGGATCCACTACAATATTCTATTCCATTCTTGTAGAAGATCCATCGCACCATGCTTGTATGCAATATGCAACGTGCGTTGCAACTCGTTGATACCCTTCATGCTTCATCCTCATATATCCCTTCCATGTTTCGTTGTAGGGTCAAGTACATTTACTTGTACTTTGTCATGGACGACAAGGTGTGATCACATTCACCACCTATCTTTCGCATCTATTGCAGACTGGCCTTTGTCATTTACGAGAATCTAATATGTGTTCGTTTGCCAATTAACTGACGTGGATGGCAAGGAAATTAACCGCTTCATAACTTGCTTGTTTTGCTTACATTGATGTCGACACTGTATTCATTGCACGTCAAACTCAATCGTCTATAATGGACTGACTTGTTTACTTGCAAACTTAGTTGACATTGATCATAAGGATATTATTGTATTTGTTATATGTTCATAAACAATGTTTTGTTTGCCGATGAGCTGGTACATTTGACTGCGTAGAAGTTATTACAAGAGTCTATCGCATTCACCATGTGTTGTCTCTCCTCACTTGCAGATGTTTAATGAATTTACTTGCAAGTTGATAATGACTGGAGAGAGATCGTCACATTCACAACCTCTATGTTGTCGTCACTCACAAGCATATCATTGCACCACTCATAGATAAATTATTGTGCATTGGAGTTCCTTCATTTGCCTGGTGGTGTAACTACTTGCAAGATTTATATGGACGTCATTATCACTTGCATATGAGTTGTAATGTTTGTTGGAATATTCTTATTTATCATTTTGTAATTAGATTGTGTTCCTATTAATCAATGATGATCATCATGGCATTTGGATACTTGTTACTCATTCATTAATGTCCATTTGAATTAGGGGTGTAAACGAGTCGAGTCGAGTCGAGTTTTGACACTATCGAGCTCAGTTCGTCAGTCCCAATGTTAACAAGTTCGAGCCGGCTCACGAGCCTGGGCGGTCCGGTCAGCCTTCGAGCGCGAGTCTTCCTCCTAGTCCGCGTGGAGCTCGATCCCATCGGAGAAGAACTTGAGCGTTGAAATAAAATAATATTTTTTTTTTTTGTATGGGGAGAAGAGAGGAGTTGTCAGCAGCTGTCAACAAAAGAAGGAAAAGTAAGCTGGTAATCAGTTTTCACTTTTCCCAAAAAAAAAAGCAGCTGTAATCAGTTTTCATTGGTTATATATATATATATATAATTTTTTTTTTCATTTTTTTGAATTACCGCTTCCGATTTTTGGAATTCCCGCCCATGTCCCCGCCTTTGTCATTTAGAATCGACATTGAGCTCGAACTCGAGCTCATTTAACAAATGAGCTCGAGCTCGCGGCTCGATAAGCTCGGCTCGCGAGCTCGTTATCAAGTCGAGTTCGAGCCGGCTCACGAGCCGACTCGGCTCACTTACACCTCTAATTTGAATATTTTTGTTGACCTTTATATAAAATCCAGAAGAAACAGAGGTAAAAATCCCGTAAATAATACCTGTAAACCGTTAGATCCGCGAATTCAGCTGAAATCGGCGCCGTTTGCGTCATTTCCCGGAACTCCTGCGAGGATCATGCGATCCGTAGCTCCATCCTCTTCGTTAAATACCGGTCGAGGCTTCTGCTTCTGCCCACGACTCTTCTCCCCATTCGCTACCCTCTCGACTCCCGTAGCTGCTTCCAATTCGCTACCCGCACGACCCCCAACTCCCGAACTCATCCCTTCTTCCACAAAGCCAAACTCCCCAAGCTGCGATCCTCAACAGGTTCGCAAGATCCCGTCGCCTGCAGGAGCTCGAGCCGCACCTCCTTTCTTCCGCCTGCAGAGCACCTCCGACCCTCACCTCTTCATCTCGAAGCCCAGCCGAACCCCTACCTCAACCCCGTCCTCTTCTTTGTCCGAACCAGAGAAACCGAGAGAGAGAGAGAGAGAGAGAGAGAGAGACGATC